TTTTTCGTGTTCTCTCTCTCTCTCTCTCTCTCTCTCTCTCTCTCTCTCTCTCTCTCTCTCTCTCTCTCTCTCTCTCTCTCTCTCTCTCCGTATCATCCTCTGTCATATTATACTCACAGAAAAAAGAAAGTGGTGTGTTTAGAAATCCAACATTGTACATGAAGTGTTCATTTTTGCTCTAAAATATCCATCTCAAGTTGCCCCCCCCCGCCCAGTTTCCAAATTCACAAGCCAGCACAGCACCGCCCGTGACTACTTGCCATATTGACGACGCATGGAACAGATAAGTTGTTGGATAGACTGCTGAGAGAATCTGCTGCTGATTCTTTATAGTGATTGCTTAAGTTCATCTAACTTGTAGGGCTGCTGGTCATTTCTTGCTGAGATTGGTCTTTATCCTGGTACATTACTTATTCAAAGTACATCCACGCATTCCTATTATGATTGTTATGGTATAGTTTATAAACTTGTTAAATTTTTAGCCTAATATAACAATTACTGTTTTGTGATTTCTTCCCTGATGTGATTCACTCAAAGATAAACAAGGTTTACAAAATTTGGCTTTTTTTGTGACGAAAAAAATAACCCACAATTTTTACTTCTGACTTTGATTCACTAAGAATTCGTTTTACATTTTGGTTTTAACCTCTGTTTCTCCACTAGGCTACAAGTAAATTTACATTTGGGAATCCTTTGTGGCATTTGAATTTCCTATGGGTTGCCTTTGAGATTTCAATGTTCACATAATTTGTGCTTTCTGTTGTTATATTAGAACTTTTTCATGACGTAATTTTTGGATTTGGATTTCCTAGGTGCAAGCTGGTCTTTCTATGTGGCATGTGAATTTGTAATGTGTATATTTGATCTGCAAAAAAAATTATATCAATAGACAGCATTTGCGCTCAACAGCAAGTTTTATGCGCTTTACAATCTATACTATTACCTCAGCAGACTTGACAACATTCTGAAACAATCCCAGCTTCCCGGGAAGCATGAAGTGCAAAAACAATAAAATGGAAGATTCCCCCGTCCGTTTCCGATATCTGCTGGCTGTCATGTGTGTAGCAGAGTGTCTGCTTCTTGGAGGACTCAACTACGGCTGGGGGTCACTGGTTTTCGTGCTCAAACTGGAGGGATTTTTCCTGGACGTCTGCCCGGGGAACCACACCGTTGGCTCTTTAAGTAACTTTAGGTCAGTGGTCAGTGCTGTTTGGACCCTTTAAATAAGCCGCATTGTGTTGATTTGCTTCTCTTTTTGTTTGTTTGTTTGTTTCTTTCTTTCTTTCTTTCTTTCTTTCTTTCTTTCTTTCTTTCTTTCTTTCTTTCTGTTTTAGTAAGAATTCGTGAAGTATTGTGTCAGTGTGCTTTATTTTCTTATTTTGGTTTTAGTAAGAGTTCGTGTCGTATAATGTCGACGTATTTCTTTTTTAAATACTTTTTGTTTGTTTGTTTGTTAGTTTTGTTTTAGTTAGAGTTTTACGGCACGTGCAAAGCGATTAGAACGTGTAAGTGCCGAAGATTAGATGTGTTATATAGAAAGGAAAGTACGAAGCGCAAAAAAAGGTGGAGGAGAGATAATGACGACAGGAGTTTAACTGGAAAAAGAGGGAGCAAACCACATTTCTGCAGAGCACTCGCCAACCACCCACTTGCTTCTTTTTACTTAAAACTTAAATTTAATTCAAATTGTTCGGGTGTTTGGCTGCTCGTGGGTCGGGGTTTTGTTTGTTTTTACACTTGTTTATGTGTATGTTTGGTTTTGGTTTGATTTTCTTATTATTTGTCTGTTTGCTTGTTTTGTTTGTTTTCGTAAGGGTTGTATTTTGTTTG